GATCTTATCTTATCTTCGGAGAAGACTAAATTGCACAAGAAATGAGTTTTGAGTTTTAAAGGATGAAAAATTGTGCACTACTGTTGGAAAACATCTTTTAGTACGGAGAACATAAATGAAGCATAACTAATTGAAGTAAGACGGATTGCTATTTTCATCTTCATACATGTAAGAAACACTCATAATGGGAACATCACAAAGACACAATGGGAACACTATTGTCACAATGACATCAGAAGTGCTCACCGCCCACCACCTAGTAGCTCAAGAGTTCTGCAAGAATTTGTCTGTCTGTTTAAGGCCGGAGAGAGTTCGTTAATGAATATGCTTTCCCAAATTTGAAGGCGTCTTCTGTCACTGCACGTCCGTAAAATGTCAGTGCTGTTTGTTAGTTGTTGTCGTGTCAATGTCATGTCGTGTTCCTGTCGCATGTGGTCCAGAGGTGCCCCGTCACGTAAGTGCATTGTCAGGCGTCGTGAGAGTGTCGTTGTGGTCACACCAATGTAGTGTGTGGGACGAAGTTTGCAGCCTTCGATGTTGCATTGGAATTGATACACTACATTGGTGCATTTCAGTTTGTCGGGTTTGTCTGGGCTGTTTCTCATAAGAAAGTTCGATATCTTCTTATTACAATAGTAAATGACAATGTCTATTTTGTGGTCGTTTTTGCCTTTAACATGTTGAGAGATAATTTCCCGTAAAGCTTTTTCGTCCTGCTTGTGAGCAGATGTCATTTGATTTTGATAGTACAGTTTGACGGTCGGTTGGATGTCTTGCCTTGGTTTGCTGTCAAAGTGTCTTGTCATATGTCGTTGTGTCTCGTTTTCAATGTCAGAACTTGAAAAACCGTTGTTCACCAGGATCTGTTTGATTCGTGTCAATTCTGAATGTAGTCCTGTCCAATCAGAGCAGTGCTTAAATGCTCGTCGAAGAAAGAACCTTATGACGCTAATTTTGTAGCGTCGAGGACACTCACTGTCGGCATTTAAGCACCGTCCGTTGTTAGTCTGTTTTCGGTATACTGTCGTTTTGAATTGTTGTCCTCGTCCATCAACAGCTACGTCAAGAAAGGGTATTACGTTTTGCACACTTTGCTCTGTTGTGAATTTTAAGCCAGACCGTTCTTCAAAGGTGTTTTTGAGATGTCCTAGTTGGTCAATGTCCCTAACTTCTACAAATATATCGTCTACGTAGCGGCAGCAAATGACCGGTCTTATGTCGTCATTTTGTAGTATGTCGGTTTCTACGTGTCCCATAAAGAAATTGGCGAATAGGGGTCCTAGAGGTGAGCCCATCGCAACACCCTCAATTTGGCAATACATTCGGCCATCAGGCCCGCGGAAAGGAACTTCCAACGTGCAGGCTTTTAGTAATTGTTCAAGAAGGCGCCTTGATATTTTGAGAGGAGGAATCTCAGGATGATTGTAGACGCGGTCAAGGGTGATGGATATGGTTCTTTCAATAGGCACGTTTTTAAATAGATTTTCAACATCTAGAAAGGCTAGAAGGCCCTTAGGTTGACGAGATCGCACTATATCAATAAACTCATCCGTTGATGACAAGTTGTAAGACATGGGAAGATATGGTGACAGAAGACCATTAAGACGTTTTGCAATTTTATAGGTTGGTGAAGGGATCTGTGAGATTATTGGACGAAGGGGGTTGCCGTTTTTGTGAGCTTTCACAGACCCATAAGCAGAGCCAGGCGCAAATTCATCCGTTATCTTGGAAAAGTGTATGCCATCAACAGCGGCATTGGCAGCAGTGATTAGTTTGTTAAGCTTGGTCTTGAGTTTGTCTGTTGGATCTTTTGTGATGTGCCGGAACTTCTTGTCGTCGTTCAAGATGCAGTTTACTTTCATGTGATATTCCTTTTTGTCAAGTATTACGTAGAGTGATGATTTGTCCGCTCGCCGAATGATGATGTCGTCTTTTTCTCGAAGTTCCCTTGCCGCCGTCCTGAGTTCTTGCGTGAATATCTTGCTTCTATCATTTCCACGCTTTTTTCGTGCTCTCTCCTAATAAGCTGTTCTTTAGATCCTTGTCCACGGTAACTTTGTTCTCTTTTTTCAAATTCAAGATATCCTGGTAAAGAATTTCTAGTTCTACTTTCTTCTTTAGTTTGTCATATTTCGACAGCACATGTTGAGATAAATTGATGTAACCGTCGGCAGTTTCCGGTAATACTATATGTCCACCATGGAGCCTTGAGAGCTTTTTCACGATTCTGTTTCTAGTAAGACGTCTAGCGTCACATTCAATCACGTCGAGTTCGTCAAGTACTTTTTGTTTAAGTTCATGTTCAGGGCAACTACAAAATGACGACATAAGACCGGACATTTACTGCCGCTACGTAGACGATATATTTGTAGAAGTTAGGGGCATTGACCAACTAGGACATCTCAAAAACACCTTTGAAGAACGGTCTGGCTTAAAATTCACAACAGAGCAAAGTGTGCAGAACGTAATACCTAGCTGTTGATGGACGAGGACAACAATTCAAAACGACTGTATACCGAAAACAGACTAACAACGGACGGTGCTTAAATGCCGACAGTGAGTGTCCTCGACGCTACAAAATTAGCGTCATAAGGTTCTTTCTTCGACGAGCATTTAAGCACTGCTCTGATTGGACAGGACTACATTCAGAATTGACACGAATCAAACAGATCCTGGTGAACAACGGCTTTTCAAATTCTGACATTGAAAACGAGACATAACGACATATGACAAGACACTTTGACAGCAAACCAAGGCAAGACATCCAACCGACCGTCAAACTGTACTATCAAAATCAAATGACATCTGCTCACAAGCAGGACGAAAAAGCTTTACGGGAAATTATCTCTCAACATGTTAAAGGCAAAAACGACCACAAAATAGACATTGTCATTTACTATTGTAATAAGAAGATATCGAACTTTCTTATGAGAAACAGCCCAGACAAACCCGACAAACTGAAATGCACCAATGTAGTGTATCAATTCCAATGCAACATCGAAGGCTGCAAACTTCGTCCCACACACTACATTGGTGTGACCACAACGACACTCTCACGACGCCTGACAATGCACTTACGTGACGGGGCACCTCTGGACCACATGCGACAGGAACACGACATGACATTGACACGACAACAACTGACAGACAGCACTGACATTTTACGGACGTGCAGTGACAGAAGACGCCTTCAAATTTGGGAAAGCATATTCATTAACGAACTCTCTCCGGCCTTAAACAGACAGACAAATTCTTGCAGAACTCTTGAGCTACTAGGTGGTGGGCGGTGAGCACTTCTGATGTCATTGTGACAATAGTGTTCCCATTGTGTCTTTGTGATGTTCCCATTATGAGTGTTTCTTACATGTATGAAGATGAAAATAGCAATCCGTCTTACTTCAATTAGTTATGCTTCATTTATGTTCTCCGTACTAAAAGATGTTTTCCAACAGAAGTGCACAATTTTTCATCCTTTAAAACTCAAAACTCATATCTTGTGCAATTTAGTCTTCTCCGAAGATAAGATAAGATCTCGAAACGTTAGAATGGAAGGAGTGATGAATATATGAGTAATTTTGTGCGAACCATCTTAAATCTAAGCGATGACGCAAAGTCAAAGGCCCGGAAACTAGAACGATGCATCAAAAAGCTCGTTAATGCTGAGTCAGCAGTTATTTTTAATCAAGCACACACATACACACACACACACACACACACACACACACACCACACACACACACACACACACACACACACACACACACACACACACACACACACACACACACACACACACACACACATTTATATATATATATATATATATATATATATATCCCTTTCTCTTCCATTGTGTAGCACACTTCCCCCATGATAATCATTTGGGCGCTGCTAAGCAGGCAGTACTTGCAGCTGAATGGGTTTCAAACAGAACAGCAACGCTCGTGCTCAATAGTTTTCCTGTTTTCCCATGCTCTTCCGTTTTGCCGCAAACTTTCGTTCAGCGCCGTAAATTAAAGCGGAAGAAACAAAAACAAGAATGAAGCAGCTCACGTCATGCAATACCATTCCCAATTTTTGTAAGCTACCTGTAAGAAAATTCAAGATGGTTTTCTGACATGCTGGAAAATATTCCATTACCATATCATTTATTTCACTTTCTCCCAGTCCGGAGCAGAAACATGGGTGGCGCAGCAAGGGCAGTGGGAGCAGTTGCTTCCTCCTCTTCTGCCTGACTGCGGACGGCAAAAGTTTTTGCCACTGAATGTTTTGGGAAAACCCTTTTTCCAAACAAAGGCTCGGATGCTGCTCTTACATTACCATAATTCAACGGACCCAGGCCCCAGTAACTGATTTAGAGGTAATAAATCGGGTTGAGAAGACCATTTTCAACAACATTAGGCCCGTTTTATACATGCAGCCTTGTCCATGAATGGGGTAGCTCATGCTGTGGATAAGGAGGTCCAATACAACGTTGAAGAGGCCCCTCCGATTGCTTAGAAGGCCTCCGTTGCTGCCCACGAAGCTCCCCAGCGTCCCCTGTCATTTCATGTGAGAGGCTTTTGAAACATTCTATCCCCTCCCCGCCCCCCCCCCCCCCCTCCCCCTCCCCCAACGTAAAATCCGTGGCGCCTTCCCTGAACAATACAAAATTCCATTGGTAAATTGCTTGAGCCGCCCGGTACATGCCCACTTCAAGCTTGAACGTTCTGAATGTCGTTTTCCTCTGAACACGTACTGGAAAAGAACCGTTATTGCGTCCAAGAGATCAAAACCAAAACACACTGCAAGACCATGTCCCGAGCGTAGCAGTTCCTCCGACTGCCGCCAGTGGCACCACCGTCGCGGCGTCGGCGCCGACCTCGTGACGTCAGCGCGTCGATGCCAGGTCGTCGGCGTGCCAGCGACGACGTGGGTCAGCTGATCTGGGAGGGAGTTGGCGGCAGCCGTGCGCGGTCCGCACGCCCGTGTGGAGCGGTGAGTCGCCGGAGCAGAAGCGCCGCGCGTGGTGGAGGTGCGGACGGCCGCCATGGGGTCACGCGCTGAGAAACGCTCTGAGGTCACAGTGACGGGTCACGAAGACACGCCGATGCCCACAGAATCAGTGCGGACGCCAGCTGTCGATTGCTACGTCATGAAACAGGTGAGGGGCAGGTGGACATACGAGCCAGCTGAAGCCGGCTTGATGGCGGCTTTCATGTGCGGTATCTAGCTCAGAGTAGCAGACGACAACGTAAAGTAGCACACCATGCTAGATCTTAGTTGCTGTGCTCTACTGTGCGTGTGGGTTTGGTGGTGCACTCAATGCCGAAGGTACATCATTCAGTAGCATTCGTCATCATTCCAACATCATTCGTCGAGTGGTGTGTCCCGAAGACAAAAAGAACAATCCTCGATAGCAGCGCTGTGGTTGGCGTGAGGGCCCTGTCGCCAGTAATACATCTCCAATGCGACGCCATCTTCTGATGAGCAGGCAGCGTTTGGCGCTATCTTGCATCTTCTATCTTATAATCAGCAAACTCATGGGGTCGATCGCCTCTTACAAGTGAGCTATGTAACTTTGCCGCAAATTTCCCCAGTAGTATCAAAAGTCCGGTTATGCATTTACGCTACTTCAACACATATCCAACATGGGCAAAGCTCAAGCTCCAGGATGCTCACATGCTTTGGGATCTCCATGCATTTATCATCGAGATCACATGCAAATCAGCAATCACGGTAAATACATGCCTGACTTGGCTTTGACTAGATGCCCTACTGACCACCAGTGACTCCAGTTCCGAGATCCCCCATGACCATTTGCCATTTATAGGTGACGCAATTGACGCTGCGTAAGTAGATTATCTTACTGTTTGGCATTAAAGCACAATTACAAGGTTCACACAATGCTTGCTATTTTTAAGTTCTTGCTGTGCGAAAATGTTCGATGCCTGGCGTACTGCCTCGCAGATGCATGGCTTCCAAACAACTCATGACCTCAGGGTATGCCTGCGTCCACTGCTCTTCACCCTCGTAAAACTAGCCACCTTCAAGGTGTCCCAAAAATGCTGAGCCCTTGCTACTTTAGATCACCTCACTCGCATGATTTCAAGAAAAATGAAAGCATTCGCGGGTTGGCTCCAGGACACCTCCACTTATCCGTTTGTCACGTGACCCTGCAGCACGACATGACTGTGCTGGGATGAGGGAGATGGAGGTCAGTTTCAAAGAGGGACCCAGCGCGCGAAGGCCCTGCGCCCACCATGACCAAAGAGCACACATCATCGACCCGCTACCGCGGGGTCGGTCGGGTATTCGGCGGAATAATCGGGGTCGGGGTTATGGAAAACCGGGACGTTAACGGAAGCACCATCAGGTGCCGAATATCTCACAACCGTAAACGACAGCCCCAGGAAAGCATCAGCGACAGCGGGGGGGGGGGGGGAGTTCTTGAGGAGCAGGGTGACCAGATTTTTCGGGGCGAAATCAGATCTGCGTAGGGGTCAGTCAACGAGGAAGGGGAATTGACCCGCAGGCTGACGGCAAATCAGCACCCGATGTTGCGCAGTCACAGTTGCAGGCATTTGCAGTCAGTTGAACTCAGTCACAGTCATGTGCCGCAGTCACAATCATGTGTCACAGCCACAGTCATTTGAAGACATGTTTGTGACTGAAATCGTTCAAAACGCACCGGCAGCGAAAACTGACGGAGTGCAGAGAAACAAGTGCGGAAAAACAAGCAGAAACAAAAAAAACAGCAACAAAGAAACAAAAAAAGTGCGGAGAAACAAGTAGCTGGAGTACGTCATGATTTGGAAAAAATAGGACTGTCTAAAAAACCGTAGACACGTATTTTATCCGAGCAAGTTTTCTTTCAGCCTTCCTTCTCCGCGAAAACGGCAGAACGGCCGCGTTTCGGCATGCACAGACTCTGAGGTTTCGATCATCGAATCGGCGAAACAGACGCCGAAGATTCTGAAAGATCCTGGAGGGGTTACGGTTTCTGGAAAATTCTGGGGATTATTAATTAGCCCCCGCGGATTGTTCGACCTACACTTCGTCTTCCGAGGCCAAACAGCATGCGCCGACTACAGCGTGAAGGAGGCACCTACAGCAGCAGTTGCGACAGCAACGCCTGTGATGCGCGGGCGGAAGGAGCAAGGTTCGCCATGAAAGGTCAGCCTTCTGCCGGAAATATCCCAGACCCTTCCATCAGAATGGCACTCATGCGAAGCGAGCCACCGAGACGCGAAGCGGTGCCGAGTTCACTGCCCGCATGGTCCGGGATAAACAGGGTGTGGCCTGGCAGCAGCCCTGCCCTGGCGCCGACTGAGAGTCTGAAGTCGGTCGTGCAGAATAGGAGCTGTAAAATGCTGGCAGCAACGTCTAAGGGACATTCATAAAAAGCACCCCCAAACGACCCTGGTGAAGTATACCCTGGGAAATGCTGAGCAGCATGAAGTGCGAGATGCCGTAAGGTGGTTCCTTTCATGGTTTCGAAGATAACGTCCGCACAGCGTTAGATGCACGGAATATAGTCTGGCTAGTAATGATAAATTTGCATTTCCTGCAGTAAAACAGGTGTGACATTTCGGCAGGCTAAAGAGTTATGACATCAGTGAAATCTGCGCGAGGATTTTTGTCTTGGCATGGAGTAGATGCCTGGTTTCTTTTGTTGTTTGTTATTGTTTTAAATGCAATTTATGAATGATTCTTCTATTTGCTGGTCACAGTTAGTCACGTGATCACGCGAGGTCACACAGGTCATACCCCATCGATAAAGGTCAGGAGGAGTGAAGTGAAGTGAGTTTAGATGCAAGCGAAATGAAGATAAAACTTCCCTTACATGAAGTTTGCTTGACCTTGACCTTGACCTTGACCCATGACGATTGTCAGCGTCACTTTATCTTCGGAAGCACAGGAAGACGCCCTTTCATTCGGTGCCGGCGAAAACCGTAACCTAGCATTAGAGTTGCTTGGGCCGTCGTGCCACCCAAATATGCTGTTTTTCAAACGTTCTGCGCGATCTATGATGTCATCATTCATGTTATTGGTATCAACTCACCGGCGGTGAAATCGACTGGTTTCCCGGCTGTCGTTCGAAGTCTTGTTCTCAGGTGACAGGGTCCTGAGGTGTGCTCCAGTGGTTTTGGTGGGGGGAGAATGGGGGGGGGGGGGTCTAATGTATTCAGGCTGCAGATGTGGAATACTTTCGGGACACGCCAGATTAAGGATGGGTGAAGCAACTTAGATAAGCTAAATTGCTCTTATGTGCTCCGTAATTTGTTTCGCTCGCTTGGTCGCCGCTGCTGTTGTGCCCGCCTCTCAAGTATCGCCAGCACACCGCCCTGTCCGTTTTAGTTCACCTCGCCTCATCTAGGCCTCAAGTCACACGACGCCGAGTGGTTATTTTCTGAGAAAGAATCAAATGAGGTATTTTGCGGTCAGTATCATTCTAAGTGTTCAAGGTACGTTTTAGTGTAGTTCCAAGGTTTTTGATCAAAACGTCGTCCATTGAAATCTTTACACGTAGATTTCGATGCTCGGAAACTTCGTTACTCAATCTTTGCCAAACATAACGCGCATGTAGGAATTCGTTTTTGACTATTAAGTATGTAGGTAATTTTCAGTGCAAATGTTTCAGAAGAAGTGTTAAAATTATCAAGTCGCTCTGAGGCTTTATACTATCTGTTGATCCATCGATGAAGTCAAAGGAGTTCCTCTCATAAGGTAAGTTATCAAGTGCATTTACGAGGAATGTTATGGATAAAGATAATACAACACACATAGCCTTATTCCTGGCAGTACAACCAGGAGCATGGAGATATATGTAGATGCATTGAAGTATTTATTACATGCGTTGATCGAAGCGAAAGTTTTCTTCAATGCAATTTTGTTGTTAAAAATTGCAGTGCACAACACACTCAGTTTATGCTCCGTACTGAAGACGGTAAATATAGTTATATTTCCATGGTCTAGACAGCAGCAAGCCATTAAATTGCAGCATCATTTGATGTGACCTAGGATGAAGTTCGAGCTTTTGTTCGTTCCTGCAGTTCGAGTTGTGTAACACGTTCGTTTCTGGGGTTCAAACTGTCCTGTGATGGGCCCATGACGGCGCAGAATCATCGGCAATCTGTTCTTCTACGCTGAAAGGAAATATTTCTTATTTTAAGGCATTGAAACAAGCATCCAAAATGATGAAACAAAGCCCACTTACAAGTATTGGTAGTGCTTTTAAGCAGACATGACTGCTCTAGAAAACACCACTTTCTCAGTTTAGTAAATGTGCTCCTCGATACGGTCATTGTATGATTACGTCATCGTTCCTTGCACAACATTGATTGAGAGCCAATTGACGGTTGTTGTATCTGGAGATCGTGCTCACAAGCGCCAGACACGAACGAATCGACCATTGTATTTTTCTCGGCCTTGATCGCAGCATGGCTTAGGGAATGACAGGATTTTAATGACTTTGCTAGCACGTCATGAATGTCAGGGTGACTTTAAAGTTCTCTCTCCGAAATAGTCTCCCCGTTCTTGCTGGGATTGAGGTCAGGAACGCAAGGGATTTAAGCCTTAAGAATAGCAGGGCCGTGAGCCGTGCGGAAAGGTCAAGATGGCTAGTTCGGTTCAAGACCTCATAAAAATGTGAAACAACCTGTTTGATCACCAACATCAAATAAGCCCCGAAAATGAAAAATGCAAACGATACTTGGACGACAGCAATCTGGCCAACCCTTAAGTGACACGATGTTGCAAATGCTATTCTGGAACACGATCTTGTGTGTGCAATCAGGTTGTATGTCATGAAAGGTTCGGAAAAGAAGTTTACCAAATATCGCTGCTCTTTATGTCGATGTTCCAGGCCATCTAGCGTGGCAGATCTCACTATAAATGCTAAGACTTGGCAAGCTAAATTTTGCAGAGGTAATTTACAGTGAGGTGTCTGGAGAGTACAAGTGGATTCCAGCTGTAGATTTTGAAGAAGGTAAGAAGAAGGTAAGCGTTGTACCATGGCACAGCCGAAAATTTTCTGTGTATTGAGGTATAGGTCCTACTAAGTCTTTACACGATGCAGTCATTTGTTGGCATTCAATGTAACATTCAAAATCAGCCTAATGCTTTGAGATAGCATGCACAATCCAAACCTTAGGACAGTTTGCCCAAGAAATGACGGATGAATCACGATTCCGTTTGTTGGAAAGTTTCATCACATAGCGCCGCATTCGCCGCTGCGATTCACAACATAGCGCCGCATTCGCCGCTGCAGTGCCATGCAGCTCATAACCAAGGTATCGCGATCCACGGCCCCGGAACCTTGAACTGCAGCGTCGGCTCCGCCCGACCTTGTCTGCTCAGGTGACGCTTGCATGTTTCGGCGGGGTGTGGGTGAGGCGGCGGCCGACGGAGTGGAACTGGGGGCCATAAACGTGCCTGGTCACGGCAACTCATGATCGGCTTGGAGGTCACGTGCGCTGGCTCGGTGACAGCCAATGCAGCTCTGTCTGGGCCCTTGCTCTGATGACCCGCGCCTCAACCGCAGTTTCCTCTGATCCATGGAAGATTCCCACGATGATCCGAAGGTGATACATATTGGCCGGGTCGTCGTGCATTTGCATTGCATTGCATTGCAACGACGTATTAGTGTTGAGGGGCATTTTTTGTTAGAAGTGCAAAATAATTCGCGCTCCGCGCGAATTCCACCCAGCACGTAGCCACGCGCGTGGCTTGAGCATTGCTGCCACGCCCTTTTCTGCTGCCGCGTGAAGCGTCCTTGGGCGGCGTCACTTCCGCCCCGCCCCGCCCCCGTCGGTGCAGGTTCCCGCCGCCGCCGCGACCGGGCTGGCTGGAGCCGTCCGGCGGGCGGGTCAGGTCACCCAGGCGATACCGGACGCCCACGCGATCGGGTGGCGGCCCATGCTGACGCCGTTGGTAGGATTGAGTTGCTGACGACATGACAAGGTGAGGCAGCTGCACATTTTTGAGGGGTGGCACACGGAAGGAAGCGTTGCTCTGGAAATTGGGAACTTTGGAGAGTTAGCCGATCGTTGTTTACGTTGACAACGTCAGTGATATGCTCCCGCTCGGAATAGCTGGGACATCAGGAGATGAAGGTAATCCCCCTGTGTATCTCGGGATCCAATCGAAAAATTATACGCAAAATTGACAGGTCGTCGCTAGCCGTGCTCCGTCGCACTCACTAGTCAGAGAGCTGAAATCTTCCACACGGTTGATGACGTCACAGGCATAAAAATGCCCGCAAGGATCAGTAAAATCTGAAACCCTCCGTCTACGGTAATATCTACGCCCCATGATACAAAAAGTAAGAGAGAGAGAGAGAGAGAGAGAGAGAGAGAGAGAGAGAGAGAGAGAGAGAGAGAGAGAGAGAGAGAGAGGAGAGAGAGAGAGAGAGAGAGAGAGAGAGAGAGAGAGAGAGAGAGAGAGAGAGAGGCTCTGTGGTCATGAGTTGTGAGATAGCCATGAATTTGCGACGCATTACGTCACGTATCGGACATTATCGCACAGCGAGAGGTGGAAAAATAGCATGCATGGTCTGAGGCTTGTAATTGTACTTTGATATCACACAGCATAATCATATATTGATGCAGTGTCAATAGTGTTACCTTAATATGGAGAATAGTCACGGGGATCTCGCACACAGGGTCACTGGGGGTCAGAAGGGCATCGAGTCAAGGCCAAGTCAGACATAAACTTACCGTGATTGCTTAGTTGCGTGTGATCCGCAAATCCGCTTGGAGCCTGAGTTCTGCCCTTGTTGAGTTTTGTTTTTCAAACAATGTCAGTGTGTAACCGGAACTTGGCACTGCCGTGGTAAACGTGCGACGCAAATATTTAGCCCACGTATTGTGTTTGGCCGAGAAGCAATATGCTAGGATATCTTCCTCTGCACTTCAAAATGTACCATGATACAGAAGATCTCCTTCCCAAGCTGGGAACGCGTGGTGGTCCTGTGGTAACACTTATAGAAAAACCAAATTGAAAAAGTTCGTAGGCGTCAAAACGTCGTGCCTTATGGCTGCGATACGAGCATGCCCTCGCGCTTTGCGGACGGGGAACTTCCAGGTGAGTAAATGTCGCCCAGGCATCGCGGCAAAATTTCCAGACATAAGCCGCGTGGTGTCACCTTGACACTTGGAAAAACTTCCCTTTTTGCGAGATTTCTGCATCTACACTTAGAGACGGTACGCTGGCCGGAGTTTCGGTTTTAATTGTTTAAGGAACCGTTCAGGTCTCAGTCGGGCCCCTTGATATATCTGAAGATCCTGTGACCCTTTATGACTGTTGGTGCGCCACTGTGTTTCGTGCATTTTCCACTTGACTTTACCTTACCTTACCCCATGCACTGTCGCACAAACACATGTAGAAATTGCTACTTTTTAGGCAGCAGCTCCTTCCCCACTTTCACAAAAGATGTGCAAATGGATTCAATGTAACTGGTACCAGCGACCGTAAAAGGCATCTTTCATGGGCTGCTCAAAGGCCAGAGTAGGCCACTGACCTAAAAGGCCAGAGTAGGCCACTGACCTAAAAGGCCAGAGTAGGCCACTGACCTAAAAGGACTGAACTCAACGTTCTGCGTTCAGGGACATACCGCCAGGCGTCGTCCTTGACGCTTATTCAAGTTCCAAAATTAAAGCAGTCTTGAAGTTGTTGGTCACAATGACCTTCTAAATGCCAAACAAGGTCACTTACCTCTAATGAACACTAGCGGCCTTTGTTTAGAACAGGCAGCTAGGTTCAAGGCGGCTGCATGAGGATGTCCAGGGCACTTAATGCACTATTCTGGAGTCTGACCTTGGCTGGCGTTGTTTGATGTAAAGTTTTTGACCCAAGTATCTCAAAAATGGAGACAAGCGAGTTCGTATGCAGGCCTACCTACCTGAGGAATTCGATGTCCCCAGCCTCAGTTTTTGACATATCAGGGGGGCTAGGACCCCCTGAGCGTGTCGCAGTCAAGAAACCACTTGTACACGTGTTAAGTTTGGGGTTCATCCAAAAGAATCTTAAACGATACTCGTGGTTGCGAGAGATTTTATAAAGGTCTTCCGCGTACAACATCCTTTAAGCCCATCAGCAAATGTAGAGAAAATCCTATTCTGGGCTCGTCACAATGGGATCTTGACCTCTTAGCGCACAAGCATGGACTTGGACTTTAAACAGGGACCACCAGTCAACGCTACTCGAAGATCGTGCAAACCGTGCAAGATTGAGTAAGTACTCACGGCATGACCTCTGACCCGGGAACCGGGTTTCCACACCAATATGAATCTCCACAATTAAATTGAATCTTTACACGCGTGTTTTCGCCACCGTAATGCGAAATCGCACCTCATTTGTAAAAAATCAGTGAATTGATAGGTTGTGTTTTTTCCGGCAGATGGCAGCTGCGCTCATCTTCGCTCAAACACACTCTGTGATTGGCGCAGCGATGGGCTTCATCAGTGTGTTCTTCATTCAAGAAACGGACCCGGAACGCGCCTACATGTCGCAAAGTATGCCATTATATGGAAAACTTAGAACGGGTGTTGATCTCACTGCGCTGTACGTTTCCAGTTGAAATATCGATCGATGCACGCTTATGTCATTTCGTTGCATGCCGTTTTGATCAGCAAAGAGTGGACTAGTGACAAAAGAACGTTGACTGCAGACAGGATAGATTGGAAGTGAAAGCATGATTTGCTGTGTTTTATCGGTTTACACTGTCTTCAAGGTAATATAAATATTGGGAAAGCCGACTGCAGGCTACAACACAATCCGTAATTATTGATGCTGGTCAACAGACGCTGTTTTCGGAGAACCATTTTGGGAACAGCTAGCCCTCAGAGAATGCTGTTATTTTGGAAGGGTGTATAAGCCGGAATTTACACATGTTGAATAAAGCAATATTATCCGTATTCAAATGGAATGTTGTAACCTAACCTGTATTCCAACTTAACTTTGAAACCGCGGCCGCAATGGCCAGTTCACGTTTTGTCATACAGAAAATCAGGTCAGAGTCAGGTCAATGTCAGGTCAGAAGCGCCCTTAGCTAAAAAGGCTCGTCAGCAACCAGGGGGGGCCCTGAGCGCACGGAAGGTCGAGAGGTCAGTGCGGCCCGTGAACGGATGTTGCCATTGGGCCTGTACGACGTACGGACCTTCTGATGCTATATGGCGTCCTCTACTTCCCACTGTGACAGAAAGGGCGGACACCGAGGAGAATCGACCCCCCCCCCCCCCACCTCTGGTTGGGTCTCTCACACATGGCTCGCATAGGTCCGCAAAACAAGCCGTTAGCACACATACAAACATGCGAGAAATATATTTCCTCAGAGAAATTCGCCCATGCTCCAACAGCAATTGCTATGAAGCTCCGCACCTGTATCTCGCAATATCACATCATGGCCAAATGACAGGACTTCAGTCTGTCATCTACCAAGCATGTTTTCACCTACCAATCCTTGTTCTACGATTTGCATAAACATACTTACATTTGTGTCAGGTGGGCAGATGTTTATTTCCAGAAGATATAACACTCAGCGCTGGACTAGCGCACTCGAGTATCGAAAACTCCTGTGCAACGACGAGCCGCGCGACTGAGGGGTTAATGGCTGCAGGCTGTTAACTGCGCTCTCACGGAGCCGTGGGATCTGCCACAGCTCACAGGACACTGTGGAACGCCGGGCCTCTTCCGGCTATCCACCGGTATCCCTTCCTGAGCACGACTCTCAATGCATCGATCCTCAACGCCCTGTTGAGTGTCTCGACGTTTGACCATTCACCTCAAAACTCCCACCACTTCCCCTCACCATGCGCGGTCGGGACGAGGGCGTCACCAGGTGACTTTACTCTGGTCTGTCGTTGATTGCCCCAGGTCCGGTCGCGGGTCGCTCAGGTCCGGGTCTCTCGTCGCGGGTCGCTCAGGTCCGGATCTCTCGTCGCGGGTCGCTCGGGTCTGGATCTCCTGTCGCGGATCGCTCAGGTCCGGGTCTCTCGTCGTGAGTCGCTCAGGTCCGCGTTTCTCGTCACCGGTCGCTCGGGTTCGAGTCCCTCGCCGCGGGTCACCCAGGTCCGGGTCTCTCGTCGCGGGTCGCTTAGGTCCGGGTCACTCGTCGCGGGTCGCCCAGGTCCGGGTCTCTCGTCGCGGGTCGCTTAGGTCCGGGTCACTCGTCGCGGGTCGCCCAGGTCCGGGTCTCTCGTCGCGAGTCGCTCAGGTCCGGGTCTCTCGTCGCGAGTCGCTCAGGTCCGGGTCTCTCGTCGCTAGTCGCTCAGGTCCGAGTCCCTCGTCGCCGGTCGCTCGTATCCGGATCTCTCGTCGCGGGTCGCTCAGGTCCGAGTCTCTCGTCGCGTGTCGCTCGGGTCCGGATCTCTCGTCGCAGATCACTCAGGTCCGGGTCTCTCGTCGCGGGTCGCTCAGGTCCGAGTCCCTCGTCGCAGGTCGCTCGGGTCCGGATCTCTCGTCGCGGATCGTTCACGTGCAACGGCGCAGGTCATGCCACGAGGCTCCGGATGATATCGCCTCAGGCAAAGACAGGCGCCCGGTCGGGAGGCTGTGGACCGGGCGCTACCGCCTCCATCAGGCGAAAACGGGTGCACTGAGTAGGCTGCTAGGGTGCTGGGTGGCACCGCCTCGTGCACAGAGGCGTGAGCTGCGTGGGCTGCTGCGGCCCTGGGTGGCGCCGCCTGAGGCGCGGAGGAGCGTGCTGCGTGGGCTGCTGCGGCTCCGGGTGGCGCCGCCTGAGGCGCGGAGGAGCGTGCTGCGTGGGCTGCTGCGGCTCCGGGTGGCGCCGCCTGAGGCGCGGAGGAGCGTGCTGCGTGGGCTGCTGCGGCCCTGGGTGGCGCCGCCTGAGGCGCGGAGGAGCGTGCTGCGTGGGCTGCTGCGGCTCCGGCTGGCGCCGCCTGAGGCGCGGAGGAGCGTGCTGCGTGGGCTGCTGCGGCTCCGGGTGGCGCCGCCTGAGGCGCGGAGGAGCGTACTGGGCGGGCTGCTGCGGCTCCGGGTGGCGCCGCCTGAGGCGCGGAGGAGCGTGCTGGGTGGACTGCTGCGGCTCCGGGTGGCGCCGCCTGAGGCGCGGAGGAGCGTGCTGGGTGGACTGCTGCGATCCCGGGTGGCGCCACCTGAGGCGCGGAGGAGCGTGCTGGGTGGGCTGCTGCGGCTCCGGGTGGCGCCGCCTCAGGCGAAGATGAGCCCAATGGGTGACGCTCTACTCCTCTCCGCACTGAAGCTGGTGCGACACCCACCACGCCTGTCGGACACTTCTCCAGGCGGACACACCGTCCGAAAATTGAAGATGGTGCGCATGCCGAGCTGGCTCTTCTGTTGTTGGGAGGGCTCGAAGACGATGCCGAGCGGCCTCGGAGACGTCTGCGGTGCCGCGTAGACGTGGCTGAAGACAGTCCAGAGCACCAGGCAGATGACGCACACGTGGCGCACCCCCATGCTGGAGACCCTGTCGAGGTCCTGAGGTTCGCCGGCTGGCTGCTGCTGCCCGGACGGTAAACTTGGCGGGCAGATGAGGTAGTCGGCGACGCCGGTTGCTTGGACCTCAAGGTTCCACGTGTCAGTTGGTCGTTGCCTGACGCGCGTAGCGTAGTCTGAAGGCGTCTGGACGACGCTTATTTCCGCCTGGGAATTGGATAAGTTCGCGCCACTCGCACTGTGATGTCCAGAGGGTTGGGACCGCCACTCAACCCCGGCGCCAGTGCAACACTCCTTCTGTCGCGATATCACCAGAGACAGGCAGAAGTCCCCGCTTTCCCCTGCCGCAATATCGTCAGACGTTGCGCTTTGTCTGTCTTAACGTCACCAGAGGCTGGCTGGTTTCCGTCCCGTCTTGAGGCTCGACGCCACTGGCACTCGGCGGGGGTTCTGACAGTACGACGCAGGCCGTCCAGTCTGTGCCTCCAGTAGCCTCGTCCGACCGTCACAGTGTTTACGGTGACGCCGACCATGCATGGGCGGATCTAGTAACGAGCCGCTCAGCGGGCAGGGGCGGATCTAGGAACGAGCCGCTCAGCAGGCAGAGGCGGATCTAGGAACGGGCCGCCCAGCAGGCAGGGGCGGATCTAGTAACGAGCCGCTCAGCAGGCAGGGGCGGATCTAGTAACGAGTCACTCAGCAGGCAGCGGCGGATCTAGTAACGGGCCTTTCAGCAGAGATACCGCTTTTCGCATGCAGGTGTCCGTGAGACCCAAGTGGTTTTCTTTTGCAAAGCCACTTAGCGTGTGATGCTTGCGTGGAAAGGGAACTTCTAATCAGATAGCTGGATCACGCGATGTTGCATTTGCTGCTGTTACGTCTCCTTGATTGTGATCACACGAACGCTTTTACATGGTTTCTTAAAAAGGGGATCGGCTCAGAAGACCACCGTCATCACCGCCGCTGCTCTCGCCCACGCCGGGGCTCCGACCGGGCCTCCGTAGCGGTGCCCATCTCAACTCTCCGCCCTCATGGGGGACCGTGTTTACGCCGTCGGGCCGTGCAACGTTGGTGCGACGGTACTACCGCTGGGGTGCAGAGCCGGCAGTGCCGCTGGCCAGACTGGTCCAGGAACTCTCGACAGCCTGTGTAACGTGCGCGGCTTCAGGAAGTCGCGGGGTTCTAAGAACTCGCGAGGCTGCAGAAACGTATCAACTCCCCGGTCTGCAGGAGCCCACCAAGCTGCGGGCACTTACCCGGCTGTAGCTTACTAGGCCGCAGGAACTTACCCGGCTGCCGCGAACTAGACCGCAGGAGCTTAACCGGCTGTAGCCTACTAAACCGCGGGAACTTACCCGGCTGCCGCTAACTAGACCGGACGAACATAGCCGGCTGCCGCATACTAGACCGGAGAAACTTACCCGGCTGTAGCTTACTAGGCCGCGGGAACTTACCCGGCTGCCGCGAACTAGACCGGAGAAACTTACCCGGCTGCAGCTTACTAGGCCGCGGGAACTTACCCGGCTGTAGCTTACTAGACCGGAGAAACTTACCTAGCTGCCGCGAACTAGACCGCATGAACATAACTGGCTGCCGCATACTAGACCGGAGAAACTTACCCGGCTGTAGCTTGCTAGACCGGAGAAACTTACCCGGCTGTAGTTTACTATACCGCAGGAGCTTAACCGGCTGCAGCTTACTGGACCGGAAGAACTTTCATTTGAGTTCCTGTCACCAGGTGGCAGGAACTCAAGGGTCTGTTAGAACTCTCCAGACTGCAGGAGCCCTATCAAAACCGAACAGGTACCGGAATTCGAAAGGTGTTTTAGAACCCCGCTGACTCCAGTAACTCACTCTCAACCCCGCTGACTCGGAACTCTCAAAGCTCGCCTGTGTGGTAACACCTGGGATGCTGCAGACTAAGCCAAAGAACACAACGAGCCTGGTTGCGGACCGCCATTTGCAGCTGGATGGAACGGACAAGCATTTTTTGTAAACCAAACCCAAAGAAATTTGGGACAGGTAGCTCTTTATGCAACTTATCTGTTGATGTAGGCAGCTGTCAATTAGCTCAATCTGTTTTGTAAAAGTAGATATTGGTAGTATCTTGACTGATCTATGAGTGCATTATGAATGCATTTTTTCATCAACATGTACGCACTCATAACCGCTGATCGACGTAACCTTGATTGCCACATTACATAATACGGATTGGCACATCGCGTAATGGTGGATTGTGCATCACTCTGATAATGATGGAGTTGTTGACATCACCATAATGTTTGTCGTTCGATACGGATGATGAAAATTGAAAGTGCTGTAAACACATGCATTAATAAATGCGCAAACCACACAGTAGCGTTGGTAGCCGTGTACGGTTTATCCCCATTGCACCACTGATTTGTGCTGCCCATACCTTGTCGTGTCAGCCACGATCATCGTCATGACTTGGTGTTTCGCCTTGCTGCAAGCGCATCACGCCCCGTGACGCGGGGTCGTGACACTCGCTGCAGGACGGGTCACGCCGAAGCTACCGCTCCTTGCGGGCCAGGTAACGTGAGCCCTCCCACGCTCTGCAGGTCAGGTCACGTGGGTGGTATCAGCGCTGCCGATTGGTCTGGTGGCTGGTAACCTGCTGTCCACCATGCTGACCCCCATGCTGGGGTACCGCCGGCTGGTGTTGCTGGCCAGTCCCGTCAGCGTCGCCAGCTGGCTCATCCTCGGCCTCTGCCACGACTTTAGGCTGCTGCTAGCCGCGCGGGTGAGTTACGCTGTGTTTACATGCTGCCGTTTTCCATCAGTACAGACTGAGGCTACCCACAGGCGGGGTCGTCGGGTAAAATGAATGTGACTCTAGGGGTCAGTGGGGTGCAGCGACTGGCCGGGTGAGCTGAGACCAGCGTCTGGCTGGCGAGAAGAGTGCAGTGCTCTTCGTGTTCTCGCACTGTGTCGGATTCGGCGACTGTATCGGGAGTGTGACACCTTTGGGGCATATTTCAAAACGCACACTCTGGTGAAATTTCACGACTAGTGGGTATTATCATGGAACTGGGTAGTGCCAGGGTAGCACCATCAGGGCGTCATGAGGTAATCACTTTTCATTATTTTCCAGTCCATGTTCCTCTGTCAGCGTGTTGTCACAGCACCGTTCTTCTTTCTTTGTACACACAGAGTGCGGGTCTGGTCCGCGACAAATGACGATGGCAGAAGCTGCTGAGGGCCGTCGTCAGCTATTACGGAGAGGTGGCATCTCTTCTCAGCTGTTTTAACCTGCATACTGCGGGCCTGTGTACTTTACGGCGGTACCACGTCTGGTTTGAATGACGTCAGTAAAAAGAAACGTTTGTGATTGGCACAGTAGGCAGCGAAGGCCATTTTCCGAGAAGTCCATTGGTTGAAGTTTGAACCAGCGCCTCGCTAGTGATACTTAGGTTTCCCAAAGCCAACATGCGCTTCGAAAAGAGCCGCTGACATCACATAACACACACGTTGGAAAAGGCAAATCAAATGAAAAACATCATCATCATGGTGATGACCTTACAGCCGAAGCGGCTATCTCAATCGGAAATTCTGAGCTATGCGGGATTTCAAGAAACCTGGCATTACTGTTCAAAACGGAAGCGTCTGATCTAGCAAGAGGCGAAAAGTGCAAATTGGTGGTGTACTTCCTTTAAGGGAGATTTACTCAGTGGCTGTCGCCCGGATGAGTAGGGCTGGATACAATAAGCTTAAAATAATAATAACCGATTATCATCTGGGCCAGCCAGTTTTGTGATGGCTGCCTACTGTAGAAGTCGCGTCCAATTTAATCTTTAAAATTCCAAGTAGACATAAAGTAAGTGCCATTTATTCAAGTACAGTAAACATGCGTATTATGCGGAGCATTGTAGGACTACAACCTTTTTGACCTCCTTTTGTGCCTGGCGTGACCGGGGTCAAGGTCAGTGGGCGCTTGACCTGACCAGACCTGACCCTCAGGTGGTGTGCGGCCTGGCTCTGGGCGCCACGGACGGGCCAGTGAGAGCATACATCGGTGAGGTATCCTCCCAGGGTCTCCGTGGCACCTTCGGCATGCTGCCCCACCTCTGCATCACTATCAACATGCTACTCGTCTACGGCATCAGCTCGCAGGTCAAGGCCTTAATGTTATCATGGTCCACGACCGCAAATGTGATAGATAAGGGTACCTGTTCCTTCAGGGTCCCTGGCCGGTATGAAAAACACTGATATTTGATGAATATATTGTGAACGATTCGCTAGAGGTCACAAGACGATGTAGACATAACTAGCAAACATTAGACAGAACTTCAAATCAGGCACTGGCCGGTCTCCCACCGGCCAGTGTCTGATTTCCATCCATTGAAGCTCGGTCCTAATATTTGCTAAGTATGCCCCCATCGTCCTGTGATCTCTCGCGAATCGTATCACAATATAGTCATCCAAGATCAGCGTTTGTCAATGTATGGTACACTTCTATATGAAACGTCGAGGAATTGGGTTGAACTTTTGGGCTTGGCTCGCGTGGTATTTATCTTCGCGCTCCAATTCCAGAGAGCGTGCGGATTATGGATGCGTCAACGCATGATGGTTTGGATTTTCCAGACTTCCTGGAGGTACGCAGTTCTGGCCTGCGGCATTGCGCCATCCGTCTTGCAGTTCTTCGGAACGTTGTTGCTGCCAGATGCTGCCAAATGGCTACTTGCCCATGGCTACCCAGAGGAGGATGCTCGGAAGTCAATCCTGTTCTTCAGGTGAGATCTTTTTTATTAGGAGAGCGATGATTCAACTAAAAACACTAGCATCAAACTTCCAGTATATGGATTTCAAGTGAATAGAATGGATGGGGTTAGGGTAAAGGGATGGCCGTAAAGCCGAGCGAATACGGCGACAGACTTAGATCATTGCCCATGTACTCATGCCAGACTACGGACCCGTGTCGTATTTGGCGTGTGACACATTCGCTGGTGGTGTGGTACAAACAACTGGGTATGAGCAAGACATTTGGCAATATATATATATATATATATTATATATATATATATATATATATATATATAATATATATATATATATATATATATATATGTGAGTGTGTGTGTGAATTTGCATGCATGTAATATATATATATATATATATATATATGTATAATCGCATTTGTATGCGTTTCGTCACACCTTTTGGAGGAATAGTTTGGCTTGTCAGCCGTCATACCATCACATGATATGGCCCCAGCTAATCCATCTCGTTTGCTTCCGCGCCCTCCTGTGGGTAACCCATTTTCCATATATTTTCCAGCCGTTCAAATTTGGCATGAATAATGTTATGACTCTCTGCATGGAAATGGCTGACCACTGCCATCCTGATACTTTTTATCCAGTGTTGGAGAAGTGATTTTAGATCCCTTAATGCACTGTTAGTGTCCCGCTGCGTTTCTACCATGTACTCTATACATTTAGAGATCTCACAATAGGCACTATATATAATGTTACAAGACCGGTAGCATTCTGTCCTGTTATGCATGTTTTTATGCGTGGTACCCTCTCGCCGGCTCTAGCTGACTAAGTTTGTCGTGCACCAGGATGTACCCTGAAGTTGGCTGTAAGTCGTAAGAAGTAAGGTCGTCTTTTGAGGGAAACGAAGGTGCTGTCAAACATGTGTTTCAATCTTTCCGATCGCTTTAGGAATTGACGCTTCTCCATAAGCATTTTGTCGATACAAATTTGGAAAGAGTAGAAAACATTCCGAACTTTGATGCAAGTGGCATTGTCGACCGTCGTTAACTCCACCAGATGTGAGACCTGCGAGAGAAGCTAAGATGGCTCGCTGCACAACTGTTTTCGGACCGCGGACGGCTAGCTCTTCCGTGCCGAATTTCGACTGAGCTACACCCCGAAGCTCCGATTTCCGAGAAAGAGAGAG